TACTTTGAAAAGCCTGTGTCAGGTTTTGAACCAACAACCACTGCATAGAAAGGCAAAGTCTTGCAGCAGACACCACTTGCACTAATAATTAACCCTAAATACTAACATTACAGCTGAAACAAGTGGCTTGTTCAGATTCTGACCATTATGTTTAATCTAACCAATATAGATTTAACCAAATAGATTGGTTGCTTTTACAGCCAATCTATTCTTAGAATCTATCGGAACTCTATCCAACTGATAGCAGCTCTCGTCCAAACATCCTGACTGAATCCTGAGGCATTCTGAATGCCTGTCGAAGTTCGCAGGCGAGCTGAACCACTTCCTGAAGCGGTCACCTGGTATGGCGGGGCAGCGAAACTTTGGACGCCATCGATATTGGCTCCTCCCCTATATGAAGCAAGCCCCTACACGCGGTTCACAAAAACAGCCCCCTCCTCTACTCGACAAACTCCTCGAAGCATCGGCTCATCTCATCACATCACTACAGAAATGCATTCATTACAATCTGAGCAGGTATTGGATACCAGAGATAAAAGGAAACATGAATAAAACATAGAAGTAGAAAACTGACAGAAAAAGACAATCCAAATTTCATCAAATCAAGGATGGAAGTATTTCTGGATTAGCAAAGAGTCAAAAAGCAAAAGTGCTTACAAGTAAATTTGGATTCAGTTAAAAAAATATAAATTTTTACACAGTAGAAGAAGAAGCCTAAACGGTTCGCAGTAGGAATATAATAATGTTACTGATTTGAACACAATGTACATTCAGAAACATTTTAACATTTAAAAGCTACAACAATGACCTCTGAGGATGCTCATTCCTCTCCAAAGTGTTTTTAACTTTCTCTGTGGTTCAGATATGTGCACTCTGAGCAGCGGCTTAACGACATTTTCATCATAGGATGTCCTGTAAAAAAAGTATTTATCTATGCAATACAGTTAAATAAGTTAGATCGATGGATTGCACTCAGTTGGCACTTTATTTTACTTTGCAAAGTATAAAGAAAAGAAGAAAATCATAACAGCCCTCACGGGGTGATGTTCTGATCTAGACAGCATTTGTCTAAACTAAAGGCTGCAAAGGAGCTGTGAAGGTCTCCACATACAGTTAATCCAGACGAGTTATAGATGCTTTGGTACAGGAACATCTTAGGAATAAACCTTGAGAAAGAACCTGGCTTCTAATGGGAATACTATTTTTTGTCCCAAACATCTCTTCTCAGAATGAGTTAAAACATTTTCAAGTAAGTTAATAGAAAATCAGCACTCAACCAGTCTACATGTATTTTGTGGATTTGGAAAAGGCATTCGACCATGTCCCTCTGGGGGTCTGGTGGGGGGTACTCCAGAAGTATGGAGTACTGTAGTAGAAGGAACGGTAGGGCCTGTAGTATTAGGGACGGGTGGGCCTGTAGTAGTAGAGATGAGTTGGCCTGTAGTAGAAGGAACGGTAGGGCCTGTAGTATTAGGGACGGGTGGGCCTGTAGTAGGAGGAACGGGTGGTCCTGTAGTAGGAGGAGCGGGTGGGCCTGTAGTAGGAGGAACGGGTGGGCCTGTAGTAGGAGG